GCCACCTGGTCTCCCCGTTGGCTGGGACGCGGAGAATGCGTCAAGGAGACTGATGAGACAAGGCCCACCACGTGGAGATGGCCGACAATCGAACATCAAGAGGTTGCACGGAGGCTCTGGAGGTTGTGGGTACGGGCAGGAAAGACTTACAGGATGCTTGGGTTAGGGTTAGCCCCGAAAGCCAAGAAAAACACAGAATGGGCGGAGATCTAGGCGAGGGGGCAGCAAAACACTGGACTTTAGCCGGGAGGCCCAGCAATCCAGTTCAGACCTTTACTTCAGAGTGGTTCCAAGACCTTGAGCAAATCTCTTTTCACCTCTGAGCCCCAGTTGGGTTATAAGAGCACCGTTAACTTCTCTGACATGCACTCCCTTTTGGCAACTGAGATTCATTCAGGTGCCAAGCATTATGGTAGTACATGAAACAGACACGTCCTCTGTCCTCATAGTTTAGTCTAGTGGAGGAGACAGACAGAAAAAAGAATCAACACACATCTGGTCCTGTCATTGCAATTGTAGCAGGTCTGTTAGGAAGTATAAGGGGCTATGAGAGAATATAGAGGGGAGCATTTGTGACTGCCTCCCGGGTGAAACAACATTTAAGCTGGCAACTGGAAGGATAAATGGATATTAGGCGAGAGGTTGGGTTGGGAGAAAACATTCCAGGCAGAGAGAAAAGCCCACTGGGTTAGAAAGAAGCTCAATCTCTTTAAGAAACAAAGAAACGCCTTTGGGAGGCTGAGGTGAGTGGATGGCCTGAGCCCGCGGGTTCGAGACCCGCCTGGGCAGCGAGACCTCATCTCTACAATAAATCAAAAAATCAGCCGGGCGTGGTAGCGCACGCCTGTAATTCCGGCTACTCGGAAGGCTGAGGTGGAAGGATCGCCGAAGCCCAGCGGGTCGAGGCTGCGGTGGCCGGGAGCGGCCGCTGCACTCCAGTCTGGGTGACAGAGTGAGACTCCAACTCAAAAAAAAAAAAAAAAAAAGAAGCAAAGAAAAGCTCCAACAACGCCTTTAGAATAACTGCAACTTAAATATACAGCAACCATAATTTTGTGGAAGTTTATCTTTATATATAGTATGTTAGGGAAGCACTTTTGTTGTTGTTGTTGAGTTGGGGTCTCACAATGTCACCCAGGCTGGAGTGTAGTTTTACGATCATGGCCTACCAAAGCCTCAAACTCCTGAACTCAAGCTATCTTCCTGCCTCAGCCTCCCAAGTATTTGGGACTACAGGTACACACCACTACGCCCAGCTAAGTTTTTTTTTTTTATTTCTGTAGAGATGACGTCTACCTATGTTGTCCAGGCTGGTCTCGAACTCCTGGGCTCAAGCCATCCTCTTGCCTCAGCCTCCCAAAATGTTGGGATTACAGGTGTGAGCCCCTGTACCTGCCCAAAACACTTCTTTAAAATAACAAATTAATAGCCGGGCTCAGTGGCTCAGCCTGTAATCCCGTACTTTGGGAGGCTGAGGTGAGTGGACTGCCTGAGCTCGCAGTTTCGAGACCCGCCTGGGCAACTTGGTGAGACCTCATCTCTACAATAAATTTAAAAAATCAGCCAGGCATGGTAGCGCATGCCTGTAATTCCAGCTACTCAGAAGGCTGAGGCCGAAGGATCGCCGGAGCCCAGCAGGTCGAGGCTGCGGTGGCCGGGAGCAGCCACTTCACTCCAGTCTGGGCGACAGAGTGAGACTCTGACTCAAAAAAACAAACAAATTATTATTCTATTGAATATGTCTTTTCATCCCTCTATGCAGAGACATTGTAGATGATCTCACAGGACTCTTCCAGGCTAAATACTTAAGAAAACTGGGAGTTGGGGTGGAGGGGCGTAGGGAAAGAATGAGTTCAAGACAAAGGAAAGGGCATGAACAAAATTTAGCACCCTATGATAGTACATGGCATTTCATATTTAGGGGAATGATGAGTTTTGTAATTAGAAGCGAGGGCAGAAGAGAAACTTAGAAAGACACATAACATTGGCTGAGCACCTTAATGCATTTTTGGTTATTCTGTACAAAGTAGTAAGTCCTTATATTATAAATGAGGAACTTAAACACAAGGAAAAATTGCCTAAGAACATACTGGGCCAGGCATGGCGACTCACACATATAATTCCAGCACTTTGGGAGGCCTAGGCGAGAGAATTGTTTGAGCCCAGGAGATCAAGATCAGCCTAGGCAACACAGTGAGAACTTGTTTCTAAAAAAACTCCAATAATAATAATAATATTAGCCGAGTATGGTGACACGTGCTGGTAGTTCCAGCTCCTCAGGAGGCTAAGCCAGAAGGATTGCCTGAGCCCAGGAGGTCGAGACTGCCATAAGCCATGATTGTGGCACTGAACTCCAGCCTAAGCAACAGAGTGAGACCTTGGGAGGGAGGGAGAGAGGGAGGGAGGGAGGGAAGGAAAGAAAGAAGGAAGGAAGGAAGGAAGGAAGGAAGGAAGGAAGGAAGGAAGGAAGGAAGGAGAAAGGAAAGGAAGAAGAAAAAGGGAAATAATGAAAAGCAGGAGCATAAAATATAAAATTAGAATTTTTAGTTAAAGGCATTTTATTTAACTCACAGAACTATGTCATTTCATTTAGCCTGTGGTCAACTTAAACTCCATAGCCCATTTCATTTGGTGAATACTAGGGGTACCAGAAAGGTTGGTAAAGACCCAGTTGTAAAGGATGTCAGATGTCATGATGAGGAGCTTGGACTTTATCCTATAAGAAATTAATTTCTTACCTAGGAATCATGGCATGATTAGATCTGTATTTTAGACAGATGATTCTGACAACCAACAGAGAGGCAAGTCTAGAGACAGAGGAAAGGAAGACACAACGAGTGAGGAGATTATTGCAGGAGTCCCGGTGGCAGATGATGAAAGTCACCTAGGACTGGCATAGCAGTGGGGTTAGGTTTGAGAAAACAGACCAGAGGCAGAACTAGTAGGACTCAGAGAATGACTGTCATCTTTGGTGCTGCTCTCTAGAAGTACAGATTAGAGGAGACCTCGTTTATAACAGTTCACCTGCAAATTTAGCCCACAAAGCAAAGGGAAAATAGGAGCATGGGGTGATTACCACAAAGTATAAAGGAATTTCGGGTTGTAAGTGTCCAGAACAAGGGAATTAATGATCCTGCTTTTCTGAGCTTTTTGAACTTCATCAACACTGTTTTTATAGTCGCCATTTTCTAGGGGAAACCCAGTAAGAGAGGAGAAATCCAGGGAGATGTCATGAAGAACAACTGTTGATGCAGCAATTGTCTGGCTTGGAAAAGAGAAAACTAGGGTAAATCTAGACCCATCTTCTGTCGCCTTCCTTTACCCTCTTATGTGAAAGGAGTATCTGTTCATCATCATAGGCCAGCCTCCTCATCACAGCATTTGTCTCCTTTTCAAGAACTTCCCAAGCACTTCCATCTTAGGGTGTCTCTTTTCTGACAGTGTCATTCTCTCTCTCTTCTGGATCATGTTCATTCGATACAAACATGATCCACAATCTCCCACCTTTTAAAACAAACAAAAACCGGGAGCAGTGAGATCACTCTGCTGGTATATTGACGACAACAGCCTGCTTTCCCATCTCCTCTTGATTCCTAGAAATTATAGGAAGACATAGACATGTAAATACATCCCTACAGCACTGGAAAACAAGGTGGGATCGACTGGTGTATCAAAAATGACAAAGAATCAACATGAGATTTAATTGGTGGAGAAAACCACAGCCCAAAATGAATGTGCTTCTATATAATTCTTGGGTTAAAGAGTAAATTACAATTTTTTTTCCCTCTGGAGGGATCACCTGAACCCAGCAGATCGAGGCTGTGGTGGCATAAATTACAATTTAAATGTTAGTCTATTTAGGAATTACAGTAATGACAGTGTGAGAACATCGCATATCAAAATCCATGGGATGCAGCCAACAGTTCACAGAGGAGATTTTATAGCTGCAAATACATTTTTTAAAGACAGGTTAAAAGTATTTAAACATAGCATTCAATTTAAGAAGCTATAAAACACACACGAAAACAATAACTAATTAATACATTTCTTTTGTTGTTAAAATAAAAACAAAAACCCAGTAGAACTGATTGCTAAAAACTTGTTACTTGAAAAGATGCATGAAGTCATCAAGCCTTTAGCATCAAGAAAAAAAGAAAAGACATAGGTCAATATTATAAAAGGTAAAAACAAAAGGATAAATAAGATTTAAAATTATAAGCAAAACTTGACATATAACATATCAATAAAATTTAAAATCTAATTGAAGCTAAGTGCAGTGGCTTATGCCTATAA